GTTTGGCCTGTATCAGATGCACCTTAGTCTCCAGAGAGACACCATTGCTCTTCAGTACTTTGGAGAGGTCCCTAACAGCAGACTTTCCCATTGCAATGCGCCTTTTAATTTCCTGGCTGCTGGTGCCAAGACTGTTGGCTATGGAGCCAAGCAAAGGAGCCACCTGGTTTAACCCTTTCCAGGACCATAAGTAAAGAAGCCCAAAAAAGAATTGAGCCATTGAATGATGGTACTGGCAAAGAATATTGAATATACAATGGGCTGCCATAAATATGGAACAATCTAAGTCTGAAAGAAGACAATGTTTTAATTGAAAGAAAATTGGAAACAACATTCTTGGGCCTAAAAGCATTTTGATTATTCAATTTCTGCACTTGTCCCTATTTTCTAATGTTTGAAAGAAAGAATCTGAATGTCTGACAGAGTGTCATTTTTACTAAGAGCCTCATTGAGCTCAATATCCAACCAGAACAAAGATCGCAAGTTGTGTTCTGCCAAAAGAGACTGATTTCATGTTGTATTTCCCTTCTTTTGAAGGTAAAAAGATAAGGGATCTCTGGCTTTTATTACAAGAGCCATCTTTATTCACCTGAAATATAAGCCTCTGTGTTTAAAAACCAAATTTTAGCTCATTGTGTAAAGTCATAAGACAGCTTTGTTGTTCTTCAGTGTCATGGAACTGGTGCCGACCCGCGGAGACCCCAGGAATGACAGAAGGAACAGTGCCCAGTGCTTCATCCTCCCCTCAGTCCTTTACTTGAAGCCATTGTTGCTGACACTGTGTCAGTGTGGCTTACTGAGGAGCTCCTCTTGTACTGACCTTCCCCTTTACCAAATATGATGTCCTTCTCCAGAGACTGGTTCCTTCTTAAGAACGTGTCCAGAGCACGTGAGATGAAGTCTGGCTATCTTTATTTTGAAGGAACATTCTGGCTGCATTTCTTCCAAGACAGCTTTGTTTGTTCTTCTGGAAGTCTCTGGTTTGTTCAACATTCTCTATCAACACCATAATTCAAATTCATTCCTCTTTCTTCTTTGTCCAGCTTTTGCGTGTATATGATGCAACTAAAAATATCATGTCCTAATACCACATCCTGAGTTAGATGCATCTTAGTTCTCCTGTGCATTTTGCTTTTTTACGCTTTAAAGAGGTTTTTCAAGACAGATTTGTTGTTGTTATGTGCCATCAAGTCTCCTGCGACTAGACCCTATGCACAATAGCTCTGAACCCTGCTCCATCCTGAGCCAGTCTCACTGTCTCTGACACACCTGTCCCCATTATATCCATTACTGTGCATCTGGCAGTGCCTAGGTCTTCCTCTCTTTTGCTGTCCTTCCTCCCTTCCAAGCACGATGTCCTGCAAGGAGTGGCCCCTCCTGGCAACATGCAGAGTATGTCCGCAGGAGCTTCAAAATCCTTGCCTCCAAAGAACTACCTGGTTTCACCTGCTCTAGGGTAGACCTGTTGGTTCTCTTGGCAGCCCATGGTCTGTTCAATACTCTTCTCCAGGACCACAACTCAAGGGCATTAATTTTTCTTCTGTCATCCTTAGTCATTGTCCAAACAAGGATACTCTGTAAATCAAGGCAGATTTCTCACTGCAAACTTAGAGACTACACATTCATGAACTTAAACTAGTGACAGTATTTTAAGGTGTTAAGACAACATGACAATGTATGTGAATTTCATGAACACAGAAATCAAGACTTTTGAATTTAAAAAGGTAGTTATGGGATTGATAGGAGCACATCATCTAAATGAAGACAAAATACCAAAATCCTGCCTTTATTGGAGATACTGTCTTTGAAAGTTCAACACTGATGGAAAACAACAGGCAAGTCTTGGAGTTTTAGAATTAACTAGAATTTACGTTTAACTGTGCTTCCTTTTCCTAAATCCATGGTAGGATACCGAGACTAGAGTCTGAAAGATCAGTTTAATCCAAATCCATTTCCAGACAAACTTCTGTTGATGCTTTAAACCTTGCTTGAGAAAATACTGTATACTGAATGGAAACTTCCAGCACTGGAATGGTTGTTTCTGTAGTACTACAAATATTATAAAAGTAAGCTAATAACGTAATTCTAAGTATTCCTGATTAACTTGAATAAAAATTTTCTTTTAACTTTATCATGCGCATCTAAGGAAATAAATTATGTTTAAAAGTTATGGACTATACAATTTATATCTTTATGCAATGAAGTCTAGGGGAAAAGCCATGACCCCATTTGAATAGAAACAAATTGAATGTCTGCTGGCAGCAATGATAAGGCTGAGATAAGGAATCAGAGAAATCCAGCACGCAATCTCCTGATGTGCCTTCACCAGCCTCTCTTGTCCTGCAAACTGAAAAAGAATATTCAAGAAAGGATACTGCAGCTCCCAACATGGCCCTGATTTTACCTTGGCTTAGTTTCTGCCAAGCTGCAGGGAGAAGCTGATGTGTCTTTTGGGCAAAGAAGAAAATTTCCATGTTTTTAACAGAAAAGTTTTTTAGTGTGTGAGTGAAAATATACACAACCTGCTCAATAACTGTTACATGTACAATCCGCTGACAGTGATTACATTTTTTACATTGTTCTCCAGTCTCCCTATCTCTGTCATACTGTTTCACCATCATTAACTTGTACTTTCTTCCCTTTCATGATCTCTGACATGCTCTAACTTATTGTTGCAGTCACTGTGATAGTGATGAGGGTCTTCCCCTCTTTCTCTGACCCTTCCTTGTCCTGAGCCAGTCTCACTAATTCTGGCACACCAACCCCCGTTGCCACAGTCACTATATCAATCCATCCCATCTGGAAAGAGAGAGATATTAGATAGTAGGACAAGCTCTTAATAGAGAATTTTACCATGATGATTCATGAGAATATATTAATTTCCTGTGACTGCTGTAATAAAATACCACAAACTGGGTGGTTTAAAATAACAAGAACTTACTACCTCACAGCGCTGGAAGGTAGAGATCTGGATTCAAGAACTCCGTGGACTATGCTGCCTGTGAAGGCTCTCCAGGCAAGATCACTTCTCAGCCCTCCCAGCTTCTCCAAGGCCCGAGTGTCCCTGACTTACAGGCTGCAGAGTCACTGCTTTGCCTCATGGTCATCTTCCCTCTGTTTCTCTGTGTCTCTTCTCTTTTATAGGATGTTACCCACTTTGCTCCTTACAATCCTGTATTAACTGATAACCTCTTTAAAGACCCCATTTCCAAACAAGGTTGTGGTCTCAGGTACTAGGGGTTAACGCTGCAACACAGCCTCTTGGGGAACACCATTCGATCCATAACATGGTCAGGGCAGTGCTGCAAGCATCTGAGCTGGGGTTTCCCGCCAATTAGAGGATGTCCAAACCACACACACAATCCCCCCCCCCGAAAAAAACACCCACAATAGTGATTTCCACTCATAGCAACCCTTTGGGACAGAATGGAATTGTTTTGGAGATTTCCACAGCTGTCGTTTTTACAGGAAGACAGGATGGTTAAATCCTCAGCCTGCTAACCTTAAGGACATTAGTCCGAATCCACCAGCCGCTCTGCAGGAGAATGATGTCCAATCTCCGCTGGTAAAGGTTCTCAGCCTTGGAAACCTGATGGAGGATCATTGTGTCAGAACTGACTCGACAGCAGTGAGTTTGAATCTTGACAGGAACAGAGCGCCACATCTTTCTCCTGCAGGGAAAGGTTTCTCCTGAACCACCAGCCTTTCAGTCAGAAGCCAGGTGTCTACCCACTGAGCTGCTAGGGCTCCTGGGGCTGTTATTGCTCTAAACCCTCCCGGGGCTCCCACCTTACACCATCGTATTCTAAGGTCCAGTAATCCTTGTGTTTACTTCTGGAATGTTAACAGAAGAGATAAGTCCTTGGATCTCAGTTTGATGGATAGTGGAAGGGGTGGGTAAAGGAAATGGGAAAAATTGGTGTGAAAAACAACATATACAAACTAGTAAGTAAACTAGTATAAAATAAAAATTTATTTTTTAGAAAGAACTATTGCAGTTGGTGGTAGAAGGTTGGTTTTGTTTGGTTTGC